AACATTCCAATGAAGCATTGTGTTGGCATTTGTGGTTTGGGTGCGCTTGCATTCCTGCTTTCATTCTTGACTCCTGCAGTCTCTTCTCCACAGAGTTTCTTTAATAACATTAGGTCAAATGATGTCATTCCTTGTATGAAGAACATGCAATGATGACCTGTCTAACTCAGAATGAAATCCAGAGTCCTTACTTTGGCTTACGAACAGGGTTACCACCTAATTTATCATTCAAATTGGACTATTTTGCCAGTGAAAGAGGCCTTAAGAGTAATTACACCAGGACAACAGGTGTAAACCATGGTTATCCCAAGCAATTCAGGACGGAGAGGCCCCTAGAAGGCCCTAGCCAGGATCACCTCAGACTCATGTTCTATCAGTGTCCTCTCTTCTCTCAGTCCTCACTTAGCTCCAGCCACATCGACCTCCTGAATACTTTTAAAATATAACAGCATGCCCCAGCCACTTAGAATGTTTTCCCTGAGATATCGCTGTATCTTGCTCTTTTCAACTTAATCCTAGTCTTTACTCAGATCTCATCTATTCTGAAGACCTTTCCTGACTCCTTCCTAAAATAGTATTCTTCTTCCCTTGTTTACTTACTCTCTTGCCCCGCATTGTTTTTCTTTATAACACTCATTGCATCCTGACATAACTAATTAGAAAACAACAACAACAATATATTGTTGTTGTTGTTGTTTTCTAATTAGTTATGTTTCTGCCACCATAAAACAAGCTCTATCAGTGGATAAACTTTGTTTTGTTTATTGATATGTGCCTGGCATCTAGGACAGTGTCTGACACTTAGTAGGTATTTAATCATACTTGATGAATGAACAAACGAATTCCTGCAATGGAAATAAGTTGTTGGCTAGAATGGGCTGTTTTAAGAGGAAAGAGCAGCTTCAGTTTACTGACAGATGGCAACTGAGAATGCTTGTATTCCACAAGGGCCATGACCCTCACAGGCAAATGAATGTCTTTACTAAGATCAGAGAGGTGCCAGGAGGAATGTTACAAGATATAAAGAATGAGTTAGGGAACATTTTGGCTAAAGTGAATGGTAAAGATGGAACTCTAGAAGAAAATGATGACTTCCAGAGATGTTTTTACCGTCTGATTATTGTGAGATTATCTCTTCTCAGATAATGCATATTTTATGTCTTTCTAATATATTTAATCCATTTAAGTAGCCCACCATGTTTTAGGTCAACTTAACTTTAAAATTGTATTTCAAATTTTTTGATAGTATTAGTTTTAGGAAAACCTGTAATAGATTTATTATCTTATAAATAATAATATTTAACTATCAGAACATCACTTGAATGCCAGGCATTATTTTAAGTGTTTTACAAATATTATCTTACTTAATCCTCACAGAAACCCTATGTGATGTTGGTGTTCTCATTATCCACAATTTGCAATAAAGAAACTGAGGCGCAAAGAGGTTAAGTCAGTCTAACTTCAGAGCCCCTAACCCATTGCCTTTGCCATATTGTGTAATTTATTTGTTGTTATTGTTTTATAATCATCCTTAGTTTATTATGTGTGTTAGCCTCTGTATTCCAATAGATACCCTGAAAGCACCCCCTGATTTCTCTGGCAAATTCTGAATGTAACCTTTTGTGATTCCATCTCCTTAAACCGCCATGAGTTGTTTTTCCCTTAGCTGTTATTACAGTGGATTTTTATCTTGGTTACTTATGTCTTTGTTTGTGGTGTGTCTTTTCTCACTGGAATTGTCATCACCTTTCAAGGATAGGGACCTGTTTTACTCACTGCTGTACTAATATACTGCTGTACTGCATACTGTAATACTAATACACTGCTGTACTACATACTGTAAGTGCCCAGTATATAGCAAATGTTCAATAACTACTAGTTGCATACATAAATACTGAATGGATCAGTTGTACTAAAACTGTATTTTTTTCTGTATGACTAATATGATTCAATCAGCCACCCAATAGTTATAAGCACAAATTCTGCGCTTAGTACCATACTCCAAATATAGCCCTTGCTAAACGCGGGGTCCTTCTCTAAGCACTTTGTGTGAAAGAAGAAACTCTTTTAATCTCTATAATTACCCTGTGAGGCGGTCTGCAAGGATTAAAAAGCAGTATATATTGATACATACAATGGGATGTTATTAAGCCTTGAGAAGGAAAGAAATTTGGACATATGTTACAACATGGATGAACCATGAGGACATTATAGTGAGTGAAAAAAGCCAGCTGCAAAAAAGATACCTACTGTGTGATTCCACTTACATGAAATACTTGAGTAGTCAAAATCATAGAGACAGAAAGTCGAATGGTGGTTGACAGAAATTTGGGAGAGGGAGCCATGGAGAATTACTGTTTCATAGTACAAAGTTTCAGTTTTACAAGATTAAGATTTATGGAGATGGATGTTGGTGATGATTGCACAATGTTATGAGTGTTTTAAACATCGCTGAGCCATACACTTAAAAATAGTTAAGATGGTAAATTTTTTGTTTTGTGTATTTTGCCACAACAAAAAAATGAGGCAAAAAGTGCTATTTGCAACTCAACAGAATCCATTTATAGCTTTTTGATTCCCCATGGAGGATATTTCACTAACATTCAGTGGGTATAAAAGCAGGCATTTCCCAGAGGGATAATCAGAGAAGGCATAATATCCTCTGCAAGATCCTCTATAAACTTCAAAGGATATGAGACCGCCTATAAGGTTTTCTGTTTTGTTTTGTTTTCTGGAGGGTTTTTTTTTTTTTTTTTTTTTTTTTTTTTTAAATGATGATGGGGGAGGAGGCAGAGCATAAACAAACTAACTTAAAAAGCTTTAAAGAAACATCTATTGTGTACTGATTTCTTTAGAACAATATATTTTATACTAACTATTCTCCAATTTGGTTACCGGAGTTAATAATGTAATTTATAGTTCAGTATTATGCCAGATGAAGAACATAGACCAAGGTTCTACATGAGTTAATGTGGATGGAGAGGTCTGCTCAACAGAACTCCAGGAAGGAGGGCAGAGGGGACTAAAACGCTGAAGAGGATAAAAATAGAAAACAAGGGAAGAGAGAAAAACTGATTCCAGCCCTGGCCTATGCGGCTCAGCTGCTTGGAGTGTTGTTCTGTACACCCAATGTTTGCAGGTTCAATTCCCCGTATGGTCTTGGTTGCTCTCTTTTCTCCGCTCTCTAAAAAATCAGAGAACATGTCCTAGGATGAGGATTTAAAAAAACACTCCTGCAAGTCCACGGTGCCCTCCACGCCTTTGACACAATCATCCACCTTAAGTGGGGCTCTGTGGACAGAACCACTCTTTTCCTAGCCAAGCTCTTTGCAGCTCTCTGCCAACATTCCCTTTGCCTCCTGAGGGCCTTTCTGCAACTTACGATACACACTGAGTTTCTAACAATAGGATTAACTTTGGGTGAAAGGAACTCTGTGTATTTTGGGTGTGGGTCACTGTTTGCTCTTCTGATTGGCAATGTACACAGTGCCTTAAGCAACGCCGTGTGGGGCATTTTAGGTTAGGGTGTGGCACAGTCGTCAGCTCCTGGTTTTTCTCCTGAGGGCGATTCGCTGAAAAGTAGTTTCATTCAGTTTGCTTTGGTTTGTTTGGACCAACGATTTGCTCAAGCAGAAGGTGCTTGCCTGCAGCGTGGAGGCAGCCTCAACAGAGAGGTCAGGCTGTTTCCCTGCAGGCCTGCCATCCCTCCCATAAAACAATACCATTGACCATCTTTTCTACACTGTGGCGTCTTGGCATAGGGTCTCAGCTTGCTCCAAATGCTCCCTTCGTGGCATCAGGGAGCATTCAGGGAGTCCAAGACCTGATTTGAGAGCAGGGCTCTGGGTCATGGCTACATAACTGGGACAGCCTTGACATACTCTGGGAAACAAAAACGATTGCTGAACACCGAAACATACTACTTAAGAACACTTTCCCCCCTTAGCTCCATAATATTATCGTGAACCTTAGCAGAACAAAGCCATGGTGCTGACTCAGTCTTCTGAGCATTGGCCCTGAACCTGAATGTGCTTTCAAACAGAGTTAAGGGTTTCAAAGGAGAGTGGACTCCTTTAACTCTGTTTATAGCTCTCTCCTCCGTTCTGGCTCTGTCCCAGAGATTTCCGATGGCTCCGGTAGAGTCAGAATCTCTGATGTGTGTGTAACTGACCTCTAACCCACACGTCAGTGTTATTTTCAGCTGTTCTTTGACGAGGGGTCCAACAGCTGCTGTTTAATACCACCGGCAACTTGTGACACACACAGAGTTTCTAGCAATAGGATTAATCTGCCAGTCTTGGGCTCTGATTCGAAGCTGTCTATAATTCTCCGGCTCACGCAGTGGAGGGAGAATAAAAATAAAACCTGCAGTAGAATGTTATTTTTTTATTTTATTGTAGAAAAATACACATAGTGTTAAACTTTAATTAAACAAAAACATTCTTGCTGCAATTAAAAAGTAACAGCAAAGTGTATTACTTCTTAGTATTTGTGATAACTGAGTTTCAAAGTGCTGTTCAGTGGAGTACAGTAGTCACAAATAAATCCTGAGATGGTGGGTGTCTACTGATAAATGCTTGTTGAAATATTTTTTAAATGCTCCTAACACATCAGAAGCAATGAGAAAATGTAACTACCCCATATAAACTTTATTTGACAAAAGGCAGTAAGTTTTAGAAAAGTAGATTAATCTAAAAAGATTAAGCTAAAAAGATAAATGGCTTGCTTAATCCCAAAACAAATACCAGAACTTATTTTTAAAGTACATTTTAAAAGCTTTTTTTTTTTTTTTTTTGTCTAAAAGAGTCTTCAAAAGTCTTAAAAAGTTTGATATTGCAGTCAATGACTAGCTGGTTTCAAAGTCCACTATAGCTAGACAGATTCAATGGCAAAACTAACTTGGATTGTCAGGATGTAACTTTTTTTCCCCCCCCGTTTGCTATCAAACATCAGCTGATAGGAAGGGAGCTAGAAACTGCCCTCTGCATTTAAGATAATGGCAAAAATAACAGGCGCTTAGTGTTACCATACTAGGGGTGTGGCGATTCTCTCCCCTTCTCTCTCTCTCTTTCTCTCCTCTCTCTCTCTGGTGATAAACTCAATGGGGTTGTCTATTTTTAACCTCCTGTTCTCTGCTTCTGGCAGAGCAATCAGTGGGAGCTGAGCTCTTCCCCTGAATGAATCCAAGTAACCCCAGAGGTTGCCTTCTGAAATGACCAGCAGACGCACATCTGTCCAGAGGCTCGGAGTGTGAGCGGCATCGAGAGGACCATGTCCAGCCCGGGGAGCCCTGGAGTGGAGTTTTCCACCACCACCGTCAGCTCAGTGGCCGTGCAGGCTGGGGACTCTAAAATCGTTATCGCCGTCATAAAGGTAAACTGACAACTTTCTTTTCCCCGTGTGGCTGTGGGCGTCTGGCTGTGTGCTGATAATCCCGAAGAACATTCCACACAATCAGCAGTGCCCGGCACAGAGGAGATAACCCAGCTAGCACATCTTGCTGCTTTCTTAAAGCGGCAGCGAGAGAAACCTCTGTGAAGCTTCAGCCAGGGACCACAGTTTCTCTTTCAGTGAGTGAGGAAGCATGGACAGCAGCTTGGTGCAAAACAAAACAAACCGTCTATTTTCAGTCTGTTTTTTTTTAAAGGCAAGGCATGGGTGATTACAAATTCATGTTAGCCAGGCTGAAGAGGCAAACGGGCCTTTGAAAGGCGGGTGGTTTTTGAGAGGGGTGTGCTGGAGGAGGGAAGGGGAGAGCCTCAAAGATGAGGGGTGGCCCTGTGTTGGGCAGGATGGGACCCAGAGGACTCCACCAAGGGGCTCTGACCCGTGCCCTCCTCAGCTCTGGTGGTGACACGGGAAAGGCACGGGTAGATCCTTGTCACACTGCTGAGGGAGTGGAGACCCTGCCAGGGAAGGTGCAGGGGGCATGCGTCAGATTGGCTCTTGACAGCAGGAAGTTGAAGCCACTGGGGGCTTATGTTTTATGCCAAGCCATTTGTCCATTTGCAAAGATGACAGCACATCTGTAGGTTGAAGAGAATGACTGTGATCTTCTTTCCTATGGAAATGGCCTGCAGAACCCTATGAAGTGGAATACTTGGGTCTAGTCAGTTCACCACCCAAGGAATTCAGTGTTTAATGAAGGGAGTCGGGCAGACAATCTGGCGCTTACCAGCCGGTTACTTTCAGATCCTGTCAAGCTTCATCGAGTGACTTTCTGGCCTTTTGTTAGTGCATGGATGCACAGCAAGCCGGTTAATTTCACTGAATTCTGTGACTTTTATGTTCATGTGGAAGGGATAGCAGGAAGCAGCCCTTGACATTGAGCAGAAGGATGGGCGCTGGGGCACCAAAGGTCACGTGTCCTGGCTGGGCTGTGTCCTGGGCTGCGGAGACGTGGCCCCACATAAGCAGGGCCTCTGCCGCTTCCCTCACCCTCTTGTCTCTTCAAAGGCAATGTGTGGACGTGGGAAAAAGCCTGAAGCATAAATTGATCATTTGCATGTGATTTTGTGATGCTTTGAGTATCTGCAAATTTCAGCAATGAAGGAAAAGAGGCAAACTCACCACTTAAAAGAAAGTTAACATTCCCTCAAATATGAACTATATCTTAGAGCAGGATAAGGAATAATGCACATAGAATAAATTATAGGAGAATCAGAAATAGATTGACAGTAAGAAAAAAAAAGTCTCTAAAATCACTCTGAAAATTCTTAATTTAACCAAACTGTGTTTCTAAGAACATTTGTTTGTCTCCTCTCCTCAGCTCCTTAAGCTCACTGCCATCCCATATAAAACAAACCCCAACTTATTCAAAATGCAAAGTCCATCTTAAAGGAAAGAAGTGCCTACATCTGATCTACACTGAGTGGCCAGATTATTATGATCTCTGAACGCATAATAATCTGGCCACTCAGCGTGTATCCTATATAATAAAAGGCTAATACTCAAATTGTCCCCTTGACCAGGAATTCGACCAGCAGGCAGGCTGGCCAACCGTCCATGCCCCCTCCCCCTGGTCAGGCTGGCTGGACCCCACCCATGCACGAATTCATGCATCAGGCTTCTAATATACACATATATACACTGAGTGGCCAGATTATTACGATATTATATGTTCAGAGATCATAATATTCTGGCCACTCACTGTATTTGGGCCTCTGTTTCTATCTGGTCTCAGGGTACTAATTACCTAGAATAGACATGTGTTTTTCTCATTTCTCTTCAGCAGTTCACCTAGTCACGAGTATGTGACTGCTCATGGTACCTGTTGCTTAATCAGTTGTTGCTCCTTAGAGAAACAGTTCCTCAAGAACTGCAATGAGCAGTTGTGCTTAGAGCAGTGAGAGTCCTGAGTGTGGAAAGCAAGTCGGCTGCTTTCAAATGGCAGTCGTCACATGTGTCTGAGTTGATAGACGTTTTCTTACATACTTTATTGACTACCCAACACCAAAAGTTGGAAAAGATTATGCTTTAACTTTGAAATAAGATGCAAATCAGTTGTTTCATCTGCTGCTTATCTTTCTGGTTAAACCAGTAAGGTCAGTGTAACACTGATCAGCCAAAATTGCATTTACAAAACCTTCCCCTTCTGGTGAAGTTTGCATTTTACTTGCCCGAGTGGAATATCACTATTTCTATGGAAAGCACTTTTGAGAGTGAGAGAATGTACATTGTTTTGTAATTTTGTAATATTCAATAATATACAATCTATTGTATGTGTTCCTCATTTGGGAATGTTAAATTTAAATACAGCATGTCAAGAGGAAATCATTTAAGAATTAAAAAAAGAAAAGGTAAGGCATGGATTTATATTAGACCTGCTATATTTCAATTTATTAATGCCCATCTCTTTGGACCTTGAGAGCTTGTTTGGAGATTCTAGCAGGGGAGCGCAGCTACTTGTATACCCTTGACCGAAGACCGGTCCTCTCCTCTTGGGGGAAAGTCGTCCTCTTCGACCGAGCGCGCAGCTTCGGGAGGGACGCACATGGATCGGTGAGGGAGGAGGGGGACACCCGCCTAGCCAGCCAGATCAGCCAAATCAACCCTGGCGATCAATGGGGTGACAGATGTCGCAGCCAGATCGCCCTCACATCCAATGCCCATCTCTGGAAAGAATAAAGTGTTCATAGAATAACTGGAAACGTAACAGAAAAAGGAGAAGGGTGAAGGGGAAAGAACAAGAGGAACTAAAAGTGCTTTTCATTTCATTTTTATTTTTAGTGTGGCAAATGGGTACAACTTCAGCTTGCTGAGTCACAGCCCAATATTTTAGAAATTGGTAGCAGTCAAGATGAAACCAAAAAACTCCTTCATGATCATGAACTTCTTTTGGCCAAGCTCAAGGTAAGAAAGAGCCTAAGCTGTGACATAGATACACTGTGCACAGCAATAAAAACCCACATCTGATACGTCCTCTGGCTCCCTCTGCCATCACTGTCTGCTTTAACACAGTGCCCTGTAGGTCCTGGAAAACACTCTAGTTACTTATGAGCAAACACCAACAGAGGAGAGAAGTAATGAGATTTTTTAAAGCATTCCCAATGTGATAGAAAATATGAAGAAATAATATTTTTACTGTGGAGAAATAAGTAATTTTTTTCCCCTGGCTGCCTCAGTGAAAAAAAAAATTCCATCACTTTTCCATTTCATACATCAAACTGTCAGGTCACATCAACAGGTCCAGACTTTCTATTGTTAATGACACCTGCTGGCAGGAATAATATAGAGCTTGTTTCCCTTCTGTTGAACTATTAAAAATATCTGATTTAGTGTTTAATATTAAGATTTCTTGATATTAAATAATACTTTTAGTAAAATCAGATACATTATTTCACATGTATTATGGTTATTTAGTTAAGAATCTAAAAGTAATATGGGCTGGTAATGTCCAGATAAGGTATCTAATCAGGGCCAGCTTTATCATCTAGAAGGCCTAGTACAGAATGAAAATTTGGGCTCTCTGTTTAAAAATCAGGGTAAAACTTTTCTTGACTATTAATGGTATTTTTGTTTGTTTGAAAAAAAATATATATATATGCTAATTAATGTCTAGCTTCTTCAGGCATGAGGGTATGTGTGGGATGAGTACAGACTCCCAGGCACAGGGCCCAGGCCCTGGCTCAGTGCACAGGGTGTGGACTTGACCCCTGTTCTTCCGGAGCTGTGTCCTGACCCAGGGTAGATGGCAGAGGTCACTCAGCAGGGGCAGGGAAGCAGGCAGGATAGCATAGAGGCTATCCCCAGGAGGCAGGACCACACGTGCCCCGAGGCTCTGATCCTACACTTCTTCCCCAGTTGTCCCTGTGGACTTTTCTCATAAAACACAAATTCAAAGCTAAAATTATTAAGAATTTTAAGACAGTGACAGGTAAAGCATTAGGCTCCAAGTGGTTTCTGAGGATGGAACTCTGGGATGCAGCCAGCCTTTTGAGTAATAACCATCACAGGCAAGTGAATGCTGTCCCAAGATCAAAGAGGTTTGATTCAGAGGCCCAGGAGGATTAGATGTTCAGTGCTCTTCGTTTTAATGTTTCTGGCTTCTTTGAACATTTTGGCTGGAATTTATACTCACTTCCTAGATTTAGAGGCAGATCTGATTTGCATTTGAATAATTCTAATAGTGGTTTACTGATTGGATGGTTGTAAAAGTAATTGAGTAAACCACACTGAGAAGTTGAAGAAAGCATTAGTGCTGAAGCAGGGGCCAGTGGATTCCAGAATTGATTTTCCTGTTTAGACAGCTCCTAACTCTGGGATCTGGGCTCAGTGCTGCCCTTCAAGGTAGAAATCCTTGGCCACTGGGAAGTCCTTTGTAATTCTACAAAACCACATTGTAATGTGAAAGAGCACTGACCCAGGAATCAAAGCAGCATATGCACCTGTTTCTGAAATTAATCTGGACTTGAAACTACATCTTTCTCCAGGTCCCACTCACAGTCCCAATAACAGCTATCATTTTCAGGTTTGCTGAAGGACTGGGTGGTGGTGGAGTTCATGGCAGGCAGACTCTGTCTCTCAGGCTACTTCTTTCCCCTTCCACTCCATTGCTGTTCAGGCCCGCACCTCCAGGGAGAATGCTTTTGTAGGTGCAGCAATCCAGCTCTACCCAAAACTCTACTCAAATTTGCATACTTAGATCCAGGAGCTCAAGCTGGAAAATGGTTTTTCATTTAACAGGATCCATTGTGAAAAGGTGCTTGGTGTTCCAGATCCTAAAGTTGTGCCATTTTATTCTTTTTTTTTTTGGTATTTATTTATTTATTTATATACAAATAGTAGTACATATGTCCCCTCCCCCCCATGAACCTCCCCTCCTCCCTATCCCCCAGTACATGCCCTCACCTGCTCCACCCCCAATGTCTTGTATCCATTGGTTATGCTTATATGTATGCGTACAAGTCTTTCAGTTGATCTCTTACAGCCTCCTACCACCCCACCAACCTACCCTGCCTTCCCACTGTAGTTTGACAGTCTGTTCAATGCTTCTTTGCCTCGTTATCTATTTTCCACCCCCCCAATTTATTTCCTTTTAAAAAATCTTACCTCTGCAGACTAGAAATAAACATATAATAACAAAAAATGTTTGAGTCCCAATTTCAATGTCCAACAGTTCTGAGTGCCCGTTTCAATGGCAAACAGTTCCTTATGTGTACATGTCAGCAATGATATCTGGATGGTGGAAAGTAAAAAGACAACTTACAGAATGGGGGAAAATACTGGCTAAGTCTACATCTGATGAGAGAATAATATATATATCCAAAGTTATAAAGAACTCTTACAACTCAACAACACAAAAAAGCAGCTGTATCATATTACATTTCTATCAGCAATAATACAAGTGTTTCAATTTATTCATATCCTTTCCAAGACTTATTATATTCTGAGGTTTGTTTGTTTTTATTATAGCCATCCTTCTAGGTGTGAAATAGTATCTCAGGGTGGCAGTGCAGGTCCGGCCTTCTCTGGTTTGGTCCTAGGCAACCTGCAGCGATGCACAGCTGCTGTAAAGTTGTGCCCCTTTAAACCAGTCTTCTGGCAATGGACTAGCCTTCTGGACTTCAAGCTTTTTATCTGTGGGAAGAGGGAAGCTTCATAGTGATTGTATATCTTACCATAACATATCATGGGACTGTTGTACCATAGTCCCTCTTTGCATGTGAAAAAGGTCTTTGATTTCACATGGGCCTTAGCCTATGACCTCTTAAGGTCATCTCACATACCATTGTCTATCCCACATACCACTATCAACCCCACCCCCCATCCCAAATAAATTTTAAATAGTAGCATCATTTTCCAATTTACTGTTTTTAACAAAGTCAAAGATTTGATGACAAAAGATTTTTTTTAAAAACAAAAAATGTGAATTCCATTTTGAAAATGAACTAATCAACCAATTTACTAGTTATTATGCTGCCAGGGTAGGCACAACCTTAACCTATAACAGAAAGTTGTTAGATCGAACTGTTTTAATATGAGCTTTTTAAATGATGGGGACATTAGTAGTTCAATAAGCCAATAATATTTAATGTCTAATGTTCATTCCAGCCTGTTTCTTCCCGCAATTTGTTCTAATTATAAAGAAGTGCAAGGTTATGAGTATTGGGAGGATGTAGGGATTCAGTGCTGAGTCCACTCAGATTTAAGAAAAGCCTCTCTGGATTCAGGTTCTTTATTTGAAAAATTACCATAATAATAGTTATCTTCAAACAACTGAAAAGGAAATTTGGGGCGAGAAATGCAATGATGTATGGAACTGCCTGTTGCCTTTTGAAAAGGTGGTATAATTGCTCTTTAATAATTAATATATTGGTATAATTTGTATGTTCAATTTGATAGAAAAGCTATTTTCTACTTTGCATTGAAAGATCATCTCAGACCCTAGTTATTGAGACTAAAGGGGAAAATTCTGGAAACACGGAATTTTTATGAGTGTTTCTAATGTTGGTAATGTCTGTCTATACCCCACAGATCTTATTTCCCTTCCAGTGGTGTACTTAAATCCAGTGGAGTATTCAGAGAAAAAAATATTCAGTGGGGAAAGTGTAATAACATGCAAAAAGTATTAACTCCCAAGGGTACCTAAATTCCCAAACCATACTTGAGTTATTTATAATGAGAAAGAAGGAATTTGGGAAAGAGAAGAGGGAGAGGTAAGCCAGGTAAAGAAGATCTGCCTGTGGCCACTATGACATCGCATCCTCAGAAGATTCAAGGAGGGAAAGAGGAGTTGGAAATACCTCAGGGATGTTGTTGAGAATGTTCTTCCTCATCAGAGGAATTGCAACTATAATAGAACCAAGAAAGTCTCTGGCACTGGCTCTGTATTTGTAGATATATGAATATGTGTGTATACAGTTATGTGTATTTGTAGATAATGTGACTTTCAGTGAAAAAATGACCCTTTCGAACATAAAACACTAAAATATCTCACCTCTGACTTGACTAACACATCTCTTGGTTCTCTGATTCTGACGAAATCTCTGACCCAATGAATGCTTATTTTTGTCCTATTTCTGGTTACGTAGCTAGAAATGAATAGTCAAACCATATGGTAATAAAGATAAATGTCTTACTAAAACTTGCTTTATATAAGGAATAGTGTTGTTTTCTGTTATAAACTGGAGTTTTTACTAAGAATTCACTGTTTAAAATTTTTACTGTGCTAAAATATAGGATGTCCCTAGAAATGTATATACACTTTAAATGATTATAGGGCCATTGTTTGTTAGCATACAGTTCCTTTTCAAAATTTAAAAGAATCTACAGAGATGAATAATATTTTGGTCAATATCTGTTTTCAAACTGATGGCTATTCTGGTCCAGGTGCTACTGATAATGCAAAGCAATTGAATTAGAAATACCAAGAATCATTTCAATCGGTATTTGTGTGTCCTCAATTCGTCGACTGTTGCTGGTTTTGTACCGTAAACTTTATTTTTATGTACCCCCATCATAAAAGTCTAGTAGATTAACTTTCTTTGTTGAAAGCTTAGTCTGGCTTCACCCATTATATCAAATCAGTTAAACCTAAAAAGGGGTGAAGATTAAGTGGGTTATCAGCTATTAAATTGTGTATACATTTTTGGGGACACACTGTGTTCCCCCCAAAATTATATACACTTTGGATAAATATAAAGGCAGTGTTTATCAACCACTTTTCCAAATTTCCAGTAGCATTTTAGGATGAATTTCCCTGTCCAAAGCTTAGTCTGCTATCAGCTGTTAAAGTGTGTATACATGTTTTTGGGATACCCTGTACATATAATATAAAATTTTCCATTTCAACCATTTTTAAGTGTACAGTGCAGTGGAATTAATTACATTCACAATTGTGTACAAAAATC